TTGGTAATTACAAGCTTCCATTTCAATTTTCAAACTGGTCTTTACCTTTAATGTGGAACAATCACCCGGAAATAGTAATAGGCCTATATTGTTGGAGATATATAATCACCTCAAAACTAAGCGAGACATATGGTTAACAAATAAAAGAGTATCAAAAGAGAAACAGATTCCATATATTATCATACGTCCATTATGGTAAACTTCCGTTCAATACAAACTGTATACATGTGAGTGTATCAACTACTCTGCTCCCAAACCAATAATAGCTTTATTTTGAGAGCAAGTTTTGTCATTAAACTTGTGATATCTCTTTACAAATTACAATCAGAAACTGATTTTGACTATATTATACCTTTATGGGATCCTAAATATAAAGAACAAAAACGTGTTGGGTGATTGGTCTTCTTTATACATGTAAGTGTTACATTTTCAATGAATGGTTGACAAAATACCTGAAATGAGTCAGTATAGTCAGACCAAAGTTTATATCATAAAAAAATAGGACCTGTCTAAATATCATCATCTAAATCCATGAGCATTTCACTAAATGAACAATACATAGTTCTACATTACATGGTTGTTTATTTCATTATTATCTACATAATTCCACTAGCATTAATTTAAATCAGTTGTACAGTTTGAAAATACAGTTTCAAAAACAGAACAATATCAACAAAGTGATGGCCAATTGCTCTGAAATCCTCTTAAGCTCAAAGCAAAACTGACCCAAAGACCTAATGATCAAAATTGTCTTTTTTACTAATGGTATTGTCAAATCGAAACCCTTTAAAAAATTCCAACGAAATAGTTTGTTTGTCTAAAAACTCCAAATGGTATGTTATCAAATTTAGGATGATACAAATTGTTACTTATTGTAAATTAAGTGGTTTACAGCATCCTGCCACAATATGGCTGATAATATCTTTTTAATGAAGAGCAACACAGACAATGCAAGTTCTCTTCTCTACTATGCCATGATACTGCACATCGATCAAGTAACATTGATTGTGGTTCTGTAGTGGTAAACTTTGAATTTAATCTTGCCCTACAAGAATGGGCTATTAATCCTTGAAGGACGCCATGAATAAAACAAAGAGCCAGATACCTAGCCATGAGCACCCTATCAGAACATTCATGAACCCAGACTAAACCAAAATCAATCACCGCGCATACCGACAGCCCCCGTAGACCTACAAATGGATCCCTTAACGGCATACCTGAGCATTGTCAGTCTCTACTTTTGTTTTCACCTCAAATTTGCGATCGGACTGGATGCGAGAGTTCTGATTGCTAACTTACTATTGTCCTCTTGTTTGCTAAGTTTGATTGCTTGCCAGCGCCCAGCAGTCTCTCTGTAACAATGAAGTGCCCTTTCTGTGAAGTAACTTCAAATCATTTCTAATGAATCATAACCAATAAGTTTCTTTTCTATAGAAGAAGATAAAAGAAATTGAATTCTATTCTGTCCTGTGGTACATTCTTATATGGAGCTTTCATTCACTGGTGTACTTTCAATCAAACAATTAAACACACTGTTGAAGACTATATAAAGCTTTATCAAGATTCCATTGATTATTTTTAGAGATTCTCTTCTTTAGAACGAGTGAATAATTGGACCGGAAACAGGGTCGAAAACAAAGAAACTGGCAACATAATACCAAAAAGCATTGAAAAACTTGACTGTATAGTCTTGTGTAGGGGTGGAGATTGTTACATGTACTACCAAGTTCTTTTCTCAAACTTTCTCAGTCATTAAACACTTCATGAGGCCTAACCTTAAAAACAATTAGTAAAATCATTTTGACCCAAATAGATAATCCTCATCCCAATACATGCTCTTTGTTCTTTCTCTGTATAGTCAAGTATGTCAATCATCAAATTAATATAATTTACATAATGTGATATATACTTTACAATGATTACTGTACTCACAAGTATAAGCAAGTTTAACATTTTATGCCATGATATGAATGTTAAGAACTAGATTTTGCTGTTCACAGAATCTTTGCTAAAGAAACCTCTGTATTTCTTTTAAATGTGAATCTAAATTTTAGCTTTAAATGCAAAAAGTAATCTGAATATTTAAAGAAAAAAAAATTATTTAGAAAAATTAACACTTTGTATCTAATATTGTCATGTAATCTCTAACTTTGATCAGGATTTACATCATAAAGCTGATAACTGAACTTCATTTATAAATTGGCATTTCATTACATGTTTGTAACCTTTCCAAAGCCACATGTGCCTATACAAGAAAAGGCCTGTTGATTGTTTTCAATGATTTTGCCGGAAATTGAAACTCATTCGTCCCACCTATGTTCTTAAAGTGAACAAGCCTAATGGTGTGGAATTCCAACGAGTTGCTGAGTGTTTGGTTATTTTCTCATCTTGTGAACCAGACAGACACTCCCCCAATCAAATAACATGTCGTGTTCGTCTGCATGTATTTTTTAATGTAACTATCTAAACCCACTGGACATACATGTATGTATTCCACTCACACATCATTTAACTCCTACACTACCATCCACATTGAACATAATGGAGAGAAATAAGAGCAGAAAAGTTTATCAGTACAAGATGGGTTAATTATCACTGTGAGGAGCTCATTCCAAGCCCACGCATAGGTCGAGGGTCAACATACATGAGCTTATGGTTTCATACAGCAGGATATAAGCTGGAGGTGTATTCATGTTGAGCAGAAGCTAGGAGCAGCATAATAAACATTCCTTCCCAACCAGAAGCAGAGAAAAAAAGCAGAAAAATATGAACATATTTGACCACGTCTTCCTTCCATGTTTAATATCAAAGTTTGTTTCTCAGTACAGCTTTATGAAAAATGACTTGCATCATTTATTATGACATAAATCAGAAATCATTTACAAATAAAAAAAACAAAACATGTCTAGTTTATTGCCTATTTTCAACAACCAAAAAGGTGACATATGGTAAAAACTTTTGTTGAAGTACAGTGACTTTATGATGATTATTCCATCTTTTCTCTTTTTATTGATATGTTTGAAGGCTATTTGAGGATATGATTCTATTTGTAAAATAAAGGATTTGATTCCAAAGATGAGTTTCATGAATCATAATCTGAAGGTCTATAGCTGCATTTCTACTGAAACCTATTGTTCTGCATAGTACTATGAACTTCATTTTATGACAATTTGGATGGCTGATGAACTAGATTCGACAACAATAACTAATTGTTAAACACTGAAACTGCTCTACTTCACCAATCTGTCAAATGAATTTGTCGCAACAACAACAACAACAAATTGTATAATCTAGTAATGACTATCAATACATTAAAAAGAGTATCTCAATATAGATGTAACTCGTCATGAAGGAATAGGCCTATATACCTGTAGTTCATATAAAACAGGTCAGAAACCATACCACGCAGAAGACCAAAAAGGTCTTTTTGGTAAAATGACTCCTAAATGACATCTGATACATGCGTAGGAGGATATTTTTCAACATCTCATTTTGACATTTAACAAGCTGTCAAAAAAGTGAAAAATAACATTCAAATTCACCAATTGTGAAGAGAATAATATACAGTTATCAAAGAATTCTTTGTATCTTACAAATTGTGTGCTGAGAGGCTATAACTAGAAGGGTATTTATTCTATGATTAGTTGTGTTAAAGACCCTCAGGCTATTTATGCCGTGTAAGTTATACTTCTGATTGCTTCTGTGTGTTACAAACACCAGTGACAATTGCTTTGCAGTAGAATTTGCTACGTTAACAGAATTCCTACATGTGTGTAACTTCAGCCCTAGACCAAACACTATTCCTAACCCCAACCCTAAAGTTTCCTAAACTTAGCTCTAACCTATATATCTTTGGTGAAATAAACCTGGAGCAAATGTTGAGGATAAAAAGAAATCTCATCAGAATAAGCTACCGGTAGTCTTGTTTTTAACAGTGGTCATAGTGCACTGTCAAGAATTAATTTTAATTTAAAATGCTTAAATTTTTTGTTTCGTTATCAAAGTGGGCATTATAAACATATTACATGGAAATAAATGTTACAATAGGGCCATTTACATGCACACTGGCAACCAAACATGCCAAAGTTGCTAGGCAACTACGCCAAACCAGAAAATATACCAAGCCAGAAACATTCCAAGCCAAGTGTGTGATTTTGTTTAATGTCTGTGCGATGTTTGGTAATGTAAATGGTAGCAGCTGAAAAATTGTGATGTTTGTCACGTGACTTTCGGCACTTCCGGATTGTTACCAATTTAATGGCAGTCCAAGGTCAAAGGTCAGGAAAAACTCCACATGCCCATTACCAACCAAAACACGTCAAAATATCACTGAGCTTTTCAGTCGGTGATGTTTTAGCGCAAAAAAAAATATTCAAAAAAAATCAAAATGTTTTTAAAATGAAGTTTAAGACAGTATAAATGAGCCTAATGAGGGTAGTAGGTTACCCATATCTGGTCAAAGGTGAGGTGGGGGAGGGGAAGGGGAAATAGCTGTTCTTAATCTATATTAAGAGCTGGCTATTAGAAACTGTTCTGAACTTCAGATACTAAACTTGGCCCTTTCACACAACAAGAATGCAGATAAATGAACCACATCCATGAACCATATAATAACAGGTACGGCGCAAACATAGAGAATAACTAAAATCCTACAAAGAACTAATTTTGGGAAAGAGAATAAAACTAGAAAGCCTTGACTTTTGAACTTGTTCTTAATCTACAAATATGAATTTCGATCTGATAAGAACAACAATGAGATCAGTTAACGGAGGATGAGCATGTAAGTACAAAGTTGATTGGGAATTCCCAAAGGTTAAAGATCAATTGCATTCCATTCACGCAAATTCTTTTACAAGTTTATTACTGCCACAGGAAATTTTAAATGAAATAAGATTATGGCAGGCATTATGTGAAAACATTTATCTTCTAGACATTGGATTCTGCAAATTAAGGTAGGTTCGCCCGTATCACAATAGAAAGAGGAGTGTGTTATTGCTTACCCATTTTGATGGTTCACCGCATAGCCAAAGGTATGAAGAAAAACAGCTAGATGTAGAATGATATAAACCTGGGTATTAATCCAACAAGATGAAATGCTATACACCTGTATACAAAGAGAAAGAAAAAGAAGAGAAATGCATCATTAAGTATCAAATCAACAATTGAAAGACCTCCTACATTTCAATGGGGCAAATTCAAGAGGATTTTGTCCAACATCCTGAAGAGATAACACACTTACAGTTATATCCGTGTTGTACTTATACCTTACCGTATACACAAACATGGGACATAGGTAACATTGAATTACAGGTACTGATATGTTCACCGTGTTTGGTGAAAAAGGAAATAGATAATGCATCAATTTTAATTTGATTTGATGTTCAGGCACACAATTAAATGGGGCAAATTCAAGATAATTTTTTTTCAATATGCTGAAGAGATGACATTGATTTGATGATCAGACAACAAAAAACAGGAGTCAATATAGCTGATGACCTTGCTTGTAACTCCTCATGCATCAATTAGAAAGCTATTGTTTACTTTATGCAAATGATCTACAGGCATCAATGATTATATGGCCCCCAAATGCACTACAAATAGGTTAAAGGGAATTTCATAAATTCTTTATAACAATAAAATCTCCTACAACAGCTTATCTGAGTGTCACTCACGACTGCCTATCTGAAAAGATTTTAAAAGTAACATAAAAAAGGACTATAACTTATGCTGTTACTCAGTCACTCAGACAGCAATATGGAAAAATAAAGAAGACTTTGGTCTGTAGCACAAACTAGTTCCACACTACTGAATGTAAAATCATTTAAAGAGTGGTCTGTGACAAAGACTAGTTCTAAACCACTGTCTAAATATGATGTGCATGTCAACATATGATGGGAAATATCAATACATATCACCCCCGTACCTCCGTTATGTGCCTCCATTATGTACGGCTAGATGGGTATACTCATGTAAATCAAGTCTAGTCTTTCAATAATAGTTTTCTTTAACAAAAAAATAAGTTGCTTAATCAAGACTCTGGTATGAGCACGGCTGGTACAGTACACATACAAGTACGGTAAACACCATTTAGCGCATGTAGACGTTACTTCAAATAATTCATTTCATTTCATATACATTTCAAAATAGGGTACAAGTTAATTTTTGTGTGATACAATAACAATCAATAATACATCATAAATAACATAAAGACAAGTGGTCAATGTAGAGTAATGATTTATCTGAAAGAAATATGATGGGGCCTACATAAAAGCAAGCTTGTAAAGATGTAGGCCCCAGTGAAATAGTTTGTGGTAATGAATGGAGGATGGATATAAATAGTGACCAGTCCAAATGAATCCAAAAATATACAAGAACTGAATACCATTATTATTATTATAATATGATGCTAGCTATCTACAAGTCTCTTTTCTAGACCACCAAGTCAATATGTATATGACTTTCATGATGAAAAGGTAAGCTTGCATTGCAGACAAAATATTGGCAAAGAATGTGTTTGCATATTTCATGTCTCCACTATGCTAACACAAGAACCAGTGTTTTGATCATACAACCCTATCAACAATCGTAACATATAAAAGGTCTCAGCATTCACAGGCAGGAATAGGTCTTATTTAGACAAATATTTCTCACATCTATTCCATGAATTTCATGCAGAAAAACCTCAGAAGTATCTTCCTTTTCCAAATATGACACAGGGTACTTTTGGCAACTAGTTTATGGGATGTTCTAGCAGGAATATGCCTGGATCACCCACTCAAATTACTTCATTTTTTAAACTGTATTTTATATCTAAATGGCTAGAACTAATTGTTGCATATTTCCATATTTGATTTAGTCAAGTCTATTTACAAGTATGTATATTATAAATTTTCCTAACTAGAAAGGCCAGAGTAATATTTGATAAATTCACACACAGTTGTAAGTCACAATGCAGTCTGTAAATCAAGCCTAGGAAGACTTTGCTCACATTGAACTTGGTGAGCAGTGTGCATGCACTATTGAGGTGCTAATATTATCACTTGTTGCTTTCTCACAGCATGCATCCTATCTAGTCTTGCCATTCAGACAATACCAAATGCAAAAACAGGTTGGAATATCTTGAATTCAGGAATATCTTGAATTCAGGAATATAGAACTCAAAATAAAAGGTACAATTTCAAGTTTGAAATTGTTGGGGGTCCAGACTTCGATTTGGGGTGGTCATGTGGCTGTCCTAAGCACCTGTTAGTGTTGAGCCCTACCCTACCATGAGTACAATTAGCCCTAAACAGCTCACATTGGAACAGGACAACTATACATTGCATGAGCTCCGTGGACAGCCAACAATGATGCATTTTGTCAACCCTAGAATAGGCAAGGATGGTGTACTCTCTTGAAAAATATTCCTCATAATTATGAGGAATATGGATTTCATTTTTCATACATAAATACTCCTGTCCGAGGCATGTTTGAACTGTTCTTCTTTCCTTTCAAATGTTTGTAAAAATACTTTGTATGACAACCAACACAATGTAACACAGCTTCCTGGTGGAGGGATTAAACAGTCTCTCATAGAAACAAATATTTCTTGGAACCTCTTCAATAAATACGGGTACTACGTTTGACTTTGTATTGATCATATTGTATATATATCAGTATCTCTTTGTACTTCTACAAAAATAGCACGCAGCCAGGATCGGGCTAACTTCCTCAAACCTAAGGGCAATTTCATCTTTCCAGAGCAATTTTTGAGCTTCATGAAAACTATTGAAAATCAAATCCCTCAACACTTTTTCTTCAACTTCCAGGAGTATTTTTCTTTTATTGTAAGGCAGTTTTACAACCAAGTAAAGCATTCAGATGGCCCATTTCTAGTAAGCATCCCTTATCTTGAATCTAAAGTGTAAGTCAAAGTATTGACAAACTTAGCTAGCTTCAAAGAGTAGATCGGAAAAGAGAGTAAAGGCGGCAATCTTCAATCAAAGAATATTAAATGTTCTCACTGAATAAGAACTATCTACATGTAGTTCAGCTTTTCCCACTCAAAGCAAACAGACTGGTCAAGATTCACTTGGAATATGACCATTAAAAGAAGGATGCCACTTAAATCAGCAAACTACTATAGTTCGTAAATGCATTTGATATGTATGTGACAGTCATATTATTTAACATCATACGTTAACGGAATGGCCTATCTCTTTAAACTTGATCTGATGTGCACTGCCTACTAAATAGAATCCAAGTCATTTCATACTGGACTAAATGCTCTATTTGTAAGATTGACAAGTCAGTTGTAATCAAAGCTCATCCTTTGAATCAGCAGAATAAAGATGGAGGGAATTTGCTATATGTTGTTAATCACTACGCTTGCTTTCAAAAGGAATGAGCCCCACACAAGCACAAATGCAAACACTCTTGAGGATACTAGAACACATATACTCACTCTGCTCTGCTCCGATGGTGGGTTTGGGGGTTGGTTAAAATGCTGTCTACTATTTACTCAAGTCATAGAAGGTCCTACCTACTTCTCATCTCGACCACACATTGCAGGCATACAATCCAACCCCAAACAATAAGCATATTTACTTTACTCCGAATTATCAATATCATTTTCATCAAGTGACCTATATAATCACCCCAAATGAGTAGATCTACTATATACATGTAGATCTTGGGCAAAGTCAGACATTTATTGATAATGTCATTTAAAACTTTAGTACCAATGCTTTCAATAGAAGTGGAAAGTTTGATGGAATCCACAGGCATAGAAATCAATATGTCTTTCTCGACTTATTCCTAAACTGATGGAAAATGATAACCCTCAAGAATCGTGTACATTTAAGATTACAAGCAGGTCCTATGGAAAGAAACATTTAACCCTGAACATGGAAAGAAAACAACACAGAAATATATAAAAATCTTCCCTAAAAGGCACCCCCCAAAAAAATAAAAAAATAAAAAATGTTCGTTTGCCATCTTTCTTCTCATTACAATTGCGATGATTAACAAGAATAAAGATAATTACAGTTATCCCAAAATCTTTGAAAAATTGCTAGTGCTACGATAAGGCACAAAGTGATTGAATTCTAAAGAAACACAATGAATTCACAATAGGTTCTGACTTGGAAAGGTAGTGTTAGTCTTTATTGTCAACGGGCAGATTAGACTGGCTATACCATCCTAATATCCCCTGTCTGCTTTAGTTTGTATTAGAATATATTACTGGAGCTTACAAGCTAACTCTCAAATCCTCCCTGTTCTGAAGAAAAACTCAACCATCAGATCAACACGTCAAATGTACATGTATGCAGCTCAATCTCCTAGCGACCTCAACAAATATTGGAGAGACTGGAAACCCAATTCTCTATGCTACTTTGACTAAAGGATCAATCTGATCCGCTTTCACATCTTTATCCAACAAGTACCAACTCAGCTAGGGCCTGCCAAGAAGATATGTCCGTTGACACCAAAGTTGCAATACCCTTTTCACCTGCTTTCTGCTCCTCTTAATCATGCTTTTTCCTCCACAGCCTTCATTTTTCTCTGTAATATACTATACACTTTTAATAAGTATGGACTATCAGAGCATATCTAAGAATATACAGATTTTAATATCAAGCTCATCTTCTTGACCACTACTAGGTTCTTTTGATTAAGAAAAACTTTTTTTTTCGTTCTTGAAGACAGGACTTGTCTTGGCCGAAACTGACTTATGGCACTTAAGTACAAATGTTTTAACAACTATGTGTTGCATGTCTACGATAGAAGCAATTCAGTACTACCATTAGAACTCAAGAGTAAGGAAACCTTATACTTGTCATAGGGAGAGAAAGATATTCCTCAAGGATGATTTACAGGGATTTTGTCTATACGTACAAGGAGATCTTCTAGGGACAGGACCTAGAGGAAGTTGGTGCAGATATAGATAGTCCAAAAGGTGATGGATCAAACTCAAAGGGAACTAATCTACAATACAGACACTGCCTTGCATTTGATCTCACAGGTATACTACTGCTTTCTGCTTTCAAATGGATGGAGTCCTCGAGAGGGGGGAGGGAGAGTAGGTGAGAGAGAAAACGAGCTTGCTGGAGACTCGAGAGCAAC